ATAGTTGCCCTCCCGGTGATAGCACAAGTTGCCGGAAGCGTGGATTACCGTGTCCTCTCCTTCTCTTCGGACACCGGATAATCCTATACTATGCCAGCACAACTTGTCTACCTCTTCTTCCAGCTCCTGAATCTTCTCGTCAGTCATCAGGTTGCGTGCGTTATATGTTTCCAAGTCGAGTCGTCTTAGGTGGCAACCGAACATCAACCGGAGACTCTTAGCACCCCCTGCCCCATCTTCGCCACGCCGGTCGGCTAGTAGCCACCGTAACCTGGAATAGCGGGGCCGCCGGGGACTGGGGGCTGTTGGTTTGTGTCGTTCCTATGGAGGAGGGGGGGGTTGTTTGCCATAGTGGCCACGCTTAGTGAGCGGGTTGCCAACCGCAGTTTTTATTGTATATTTGCTGTTATCAGGATGATGCGGCTGCCTATCTCCTGCCGGTAACCCTTTGTCGCCTTTTACGACACACATGGGAAGATGGTGAATATTTTCCAACACGGTAGACTTTATCGTAGTTTGACGTAATTGGAAAAAAACTTAACTTTCCACGATGCGTAAAAACAACGAACCTACGTATTTTGTTCCAAATTATATTACAACAACGCACTAAAGGTTGTAAATACAACGAGTTAATATTGGTTAACACAATCATGGTGTCATAATTAATGCTAGAAAAAATATATTTGCATCATAATTTGAAAAAATATAATATATAACATTACTTACGTAATACTTTAATTTTTTCACTACGCAGAAAGGATATACCAAGAAAATTCTAAATTATTACGTTTGTCCTGTCCTGACATATTATAAGAAATTTAAAGAAAGGATAGATAGGAGTACATCTTAATAACATTTATTCATATCCATTCTATCTTATTCTACACATATAATAGAAATGTAAATTGCAGATGTCTGTACATTTTATATTTTTGTAACAAAATCAGAGAGGGGTTATAAATAAGTAATTAAATACATTTCTATCATGTTTAGAATTGTCTGTCTGTCTGTTTGTTTGTTAACGTATCATGTATAAAGTACTGATTTATAACAAAAATAATAGTTAAGTACCTAATAAAAATTGTGACGGGTATCTTTGTTTTACATTTAGTCTTTGTTTTATTATAATCGGTTCATCCTATCAAAAGTTATGATTAATACCTATTCTGAAGTATGGGTACGAAGTATAGGTACAAATTTGTTCAATAGTGACGTTGCGTGATCAAGGACATTTTTGTAATTAAAAATAATATAAAATAGTGCTCTATAATGATATTATTTTATCTAAACTCAGAGAAGAAAAATCAATAACTTAATATTTTTTTGTAAAAATATATATAAACCCTAATATCTTAGAAAAGTACAAAAGATAACCAATGTCATCGATGGTCACGATGATGGATGGTGTCGAGATGGTGTTGTGCAAACCATTTATTAAATTTTAAATAAGTAGATTTTCTTATAATTTTTTTCATAACCGCCGAGTACCTACAACATGGTAAGTAAATCAAATTTAAAAGAGCTATTAACAATTTATTTGATTTCGGCGAGGATCATAGAAGCTTGGCAGTAGGCCTACTTCGATTTTGCAGTTCCAAAAAGTTTTAAAATTTACATTGTCGTGAAATTGAAAAATTACATTACCCGATTTTGACTTGTTTTTATATTATTCCTACCCGTTCTTTTCTAAATATCCTATAATTTTCAGTACCCGGTTGACCGAGCTTTGCTCGGTATTTTTCGCTCGGCTTTTTTTTTTAATTCGTGTGTTTTGGAAATTAATAGATACAAATTACTGTGAAATACGAAAAAGTTTTTGATCTTAGCGACATATAGAAAACTGAACTGGTTATTTGAATAAAACATCATGAGTGCAATTAGATTAATTTAAATTTTCGTGTTTTTAAAAAATACTAAAAAAAGGGGTCGAAAAAATAGATTTTGTCAAAAAATAAAGGAACTTGAAAAAAAAATTTAAAAAAAATCGGTCGGTCGGTCTTTGCTCGAACCATGGTATTACGATATTGTGACCGCCCAATATACAGTTTTACATTGCCTAAAAACACGAACAAAGACATTTTCTAAAAATAAATCCTAGCTAGGTAATGTATATAATATATATATATATAATAAGTATTTTCAAGCACCATTAAGTTTGAACGAGATATGAAAGACACGTAATATGTATTTTTACTTTGCTTGCTGCTTTCAACGTTTCTTGTATTGGAACAGAAAATATAAGTTTTTACTTTTATCCGATAACCGTTTTACATATCTAATAGATAGTATTTTAAGGTCCACAGCTGAACATAGGCTTCCCACACGGATTAATCTATACTAATTTCTAAAGAATCTATACTAATTTCTCTATTCTATAGTCTAAACTAAACAAACGTCAGTTGCTCTATGAATTTTTGTTTTTAATCTACCGTAAAATTGCGCCATTTTCGTATGGTCGGCAAATGGCGTAAATTGACAGGAGAATAAAAATTAAATACATAGAGTAACTGACTTTTGTTTAGACCACAGGATAGAGAGTTTCGTATAGATGCTATAATGCCAAACTTCTTTACGGAAAAGTAGTCTATAAACATAAGTTTTAATGGTTTAAAGTGTGGGTGCGGTCGCATGCGACCGCTCGGGATTTGACGGACGTATGCGACTGCATGGGAATTCTAAGAGGATTGATATTTGGCATAAGATATTTGGCATAGTTTCCACAATATATCACGCACGCTTTACCCGATTACGGAACCGAAAAGCTGGTTATTATAATATACAGCCAATATAATGCGGTCCACAGCTGGATATAGGCATTCAGTGAAATGTATATTTATAAAAGGATGTCATTGCAGGCATTCTCATACTTCTTGGAGCAGGGAAAAGTCCATAGTGCCGTCATGACAATTGAAATTTATAGTGCCGTAAAGTTAGTTTTGCCATTTACCGAGAGATGTCACTTTTCACTTTGTATCTACTATATTATACTCTTTATACACTGAGTCATACATAATAATATACTATAATGAGTGACTAACTCATCTACCAGCGCACAAGACGTACCACCTTTTATGGCGTAGAAATCCGTTATTTGATAAGTGCCACCACATTTTAAAAGACTTCGCTGATTGTAATATAATTTTAGCTAAGCCACATTCTGACGATATAAAATTATTAGTCAAACTTTACAAGGTGATGTTCACGGATCGATCACTCACTTCTCAATGTGATTGATCTGAGAACTTTTCATTTTATTTTTTGTAACTAAATGCATATCCTCTTCTACTTTTTGTAGGTAATTACGGATTTGAGAACTTTATAACGTAATAAGTTTATGTATACCTAATGTAATTGTTTTTGATGATGAACTAACGGAGCGGCATATTCACATTGTGATTAAGCTCAATAATAAAGATGTAAAAATAATCCGTAATGAAGGAAAATAAATACAGTTTATTATTTTATTAAAAAATATTTTACAGGATGATTGACTTGATACTTACTGAGAATACTGTATTTAAAAAATTAATTAATACCTATTTTGCGATTTAAAAACAACCTGTTACGGTGGAGAGGGCAGGGACAGAGAAGTGCAATTTTTATGGAGATAAAATATTTTTGTATTACATAAATAACTCCTTACCGGGGGAGGTAGAAGGGAATAAATAATGTTCAATTTGTAGGGAGGAAAAATATTTAATGCTTTAAAGTAATTAAATAATAAATTTTGGTGCAAATTTTATTTAAAAAAATTGTATAAAGTCTACAGCTCAAAGCGCTGGACTTAAATGCGTTAAATTGTGAGAATAATTTTCTTTTATTAAATAGGTATCCACTAAGAAAGAAGTAGTCCTTAGATAGTGAAATGAGGTTTTTAAGAACATTTTTTACGGCGTGATTTCATATTTATATAGGGAAAATTATGAAATGATTTTTGTAACTTTAAAATTAGTACGAATAATTTAGGATTAAAATAATGCAATAAGTTTTTTTTTCATCATCCTTATTAGGATGATTTTAACACTTTAAGATGAGATATTTCTCATCTTAAAGTGTTAAAACCAGGCTACATGGTTTGCGCGGAAATCCGTAAAACGAAATTTTGATAATTATATTATAAAACTTTACAAAAATCTGCCCCTATTGATCATTATATACAAAATTTTGTTTATTGTTTGGCTCTTTTGCCACGATATATTAAAATTTGTCTATTTTTTATTGTGTCCGAGTTAGTACTTAATCCGATAAAATAAAATGAGATCAGATACAGATAAAATTGCTTTACGTGCTTTCTGAGGCAGAGGGATGAAACAGTTACCGCCTGTATGAGAATGTCTTGATACGAAACCCAACTGATTTTAAGCCCAATCACACCTATTACTTAAAAGTCAAAAAACTTTCCTAGGTTGAGTTTAGTTTTATCTTTCATTTGTTTGCAGGATGAGACAAAATATAGATACTTACGCAATTTCATTGGTTTTGTAGTTTTTATTTCAATTTGTTTATTTAATATCAATAATTGGTGATGGTGCTTGATTATTTAGGGCAATCTCTTATTTGTTGTATGAAAACCAATTATTCGCTATATAAATTCGTGAGCGAATTAGGGATTACGTTATTGCAGTCATTTTGCTTTTTATTTACAAAATAAAACACAAGCGTACAGTTTGCCTTATTCGTTTCTTAGTTCGGGTGTTTGTCTGATTGACCGACTAACTGAATGTTTTTATTGAGATTAGTGTCTTTTTAAATCTTCGCGACAGTTTACTTTACAAATAAATCATAATCACTTAGAATAGCAAAAGTACTGATTCCACGTAAACGAAGTCGCGGGCACAATTAGTCTTAAATATGATTAGGAATAAAATGATATACCTTTGTAAAAAGGTCACAGGAGACCGTGTGAAAAACCTTGCCATATATGCAAATATCCTTGCCGATATCAAAGTCCTTCCAGTGCCAATATTCACCCATATCGTTTTTTGGGATTTTACCACGATTCACCAACTTGCCTTGCCACAAACCAGAGTTCTGTAACAATAATACAAATAGGTAAATACCTACGCCATCTACCACTTACGCCTACTTATTCAAATCCTGTAAATCTCTTATATATTAGTATTTTATTTTGCTTCCGTCATATTTTAATATCATTATCATCATCATCGTTACAGCCCTTACACAGACACCTCATACAGACTTGTGAAGTCCACTGCTAAATATATGCCTCGCCAAAGAAGTTCCACAAAGCACGGTCCTGTATTCTAACATAAGTATCCAATACGTCAGATGGTCAGCTCGTGGCAGTCTACGCTAGAAAGTCCTATACAATAATAGATACGCTCTTGAGAAAAGTACATTACATTTTTATTTAATATTGATTATTAAACTAACTCTTACTGAACACTTTTTGAAAACATCTGTTAATTTGATTCCACTAAAGCTTAGTATTGATCTTCCCACTCTCGACTTTTGGGTTCATTGTGAAGTTGAAATTACCAGAACAAAAGCGATCAACCTTAAAAGGCATATTGAAAAAAAAAATCGTGAGGTTATATTCTAACGTATTCGCAGACCCAGAGATATCAGAAAGAATAAAACGGCACATAAAAACTATTGAAGAAAGTAAAATTACGGATAGATTTAATATGATATTGATTTGAATTTTCTAAATTTAAATCGTAGACAATACAAGGGACTTCGAACGTAGTAATCAAGTTTGAAAAAAACCGGCCAAGAGCGTATCGGGCCACGCTCAGTGTAGGGTTCCGTAGTTTCCCGTCCGTCACAATAAGTGATCCCACTTATGAGTTTAAAGGTGGGTTTGGTGGTGACTTTAAAGTTTATTATGTTCGCGCTCCAGCTGCACTCCGCGCTCCTGCAACTGCTCCCGGTAGTGTGTACTGTTGTTTCCATCCAAGTTCAAAATGATTTTCCTGGAAAGTACTTATAAAGTTCTACTTTTCAGGTTTTTTTCATATTTTCTAAACTTATGGTTCAAAAGTTAGAGGGGGGGGACACATTGTTTTTTTACTTTTGGAGCGATTATTTCAGAAACTATTGACATTATCAAAAAATGATTTGAGTAAACCCCTATTAATTTTTAAATACCTTTCCAACAATATATCACACGTTAGGGTTGAAATTAAAAAAAATCACTTCCCACTTTACATATAGGGGGGGCTACCCTAATAAAACATTTTTTTCCAATTTTTATTTCACCAATTTGTCGGCGTGATTGATACACATATTGGTACCAAATTTCAGCTTTCTAGTGCTAACGTTCACAGAGATTAAGCGAGGACGGACAGACGGACAGACAGACATGGCGAAACTATAAGGGTTCCTAGTTGACTACGGAACCCTAAAAACGAGGAGGTCCTATTCATGCCTCGATGTTTTTATGTATATTCACTGAGTGCTCGGTAACGGCTGAACTTAATTAAATGAGGCTTTTTTTTATTTAAATACTTCAATGGGACCACAATATGAATTTGGAGAAAATTGCCATCTCTATGGGTGAAAAGCAAGGAATAAAGTTTTTAATATGTAAACTGTAACTATTTAAACGACATTTTAGTTGCTCCCTTGAACTTGTGATTTTCCTCACACAGTCCACTCATAAATATTTTACCTTTTTTGTTTGCGACTCAAAAATATTTTTACCCTTTTTTTGTGTGCACTCAAAAATATTTTTACCCTTTCTTGTGAGTGGACTTAATTAAAGAGAACTAAATAATTTTCACATAACAACTATGCAAACGGCACGCACTGCGATTAAACGCACGCGTTTAACCGCACGGCAGAAAAAAACAGGCCTCCCCCATAGATTGCCACATAAGAGTAATGTTTGCCACGGTTACCACACTTAGCAGGGATTTGGCAAGCGCAGTTTTTTTTAAAGTAGTTATTAGGAAGACGCTTCTGCCCATCTTCTCTTATGACAGCCACGGAACTGTACGGGTTAGTGGATATTCCTACACCGGCGTTATAAGCTGGGAAGTTATTATGTAGAGATTATTTTTTCTATATCATTTTTAAAGTCGGTTTTTACATCTTTATAAAAGTTTAATTTAAAATTAGAATGATAAAATTATTTGCAACCGAATGTAACGAGTGCCCTCCCATTTAAGAATTTACGCACCCGGTGCCCACTACTGTCATCAAACAAACTAGACTACAGGTCCGTTGTCACCGCTGAGGGTCAAAATGAAATTACTTTTAGGCTGTAATTGTACTGACTTTTGGCCGGAATACAACAGTGAATAAAATAAGATAAAGGGAAACCCTATGTGAAGTTTTTTGTACGACAGGAGGTCGGCCTTTGAATAAATTACGCAATGAACTTTTACGAAGCGACCGGAGAACACGAATAACTTTATTTCATTAAACACCCAATATTTCTCTTACTTTTAAATAAAACCCCTTCAAAGGTGTAAGGGTAAATTATATCTTAAATTAATGATTTCTTATATTTACGCGAACACTACACATTGAAATAATACTAGTTTTTACGGAATTTATCGCGTGTATTTAACTTTTTAATTACCCGACGTTTCGAACGCTTTACAGCACTCATGGTCACGGGCAGGACTGAGATGTTCAACGTCCATATGTCATAGTTAATGGCGGTTACCATAGATTAAAATTTAACTTTTGTTCCGATCTATGCAGTATGAACTTATGGTATCTTGAAGTCTTGCAGTTGTATGCTTGGGTTGGGATTTAATTTTATTTATTATAGGATCCCAAGCAGATGGTAGCACCCAGCCATCTTCTCTATTGAAATTAGGATGTTTTTTGATTTCAATAGCCTCGCGAATCATCCTTGGAAGGAATCGGTGTTCTTTAGCGAGGATCTGCGGTCTATCAAATCTGATGTAGTGACGGGGGCGATCCTGTACGTGTACGTATTGTGAATGTGGTCTCTCCTACATAGGACAAACTAAAAAATCAATAAAAACCCGCGTTAAAGAACATATAGCTGATGTGAAGAATCGACGCTCCGGGAAGTCTGCAGTCTGTGAACACGTACAGGATCGCCCCCGTCACTACATCAGATTTGATAGACCGCAGATCCTCGCTAAAGAACACCGATTCCTTCCAAGGATGATTCGCGAGGCTATTGAAATCAAAAAATATCCTAATTTCAATAGAGAAGATGGCTGGGTGCTGCCATCTGCTTGGGATCCTATAATAAATAAAATTAAATCCCAACCCAAGCATACAACTGCAAGACTTCAAGATACTATAAGTTCATACTGCATAGATCGGAACAAAAGTTAAATTTTAATCTATGGTAACCGCGGTTAACTATGACATATGGACGTTGAACATATTATTATTATTATTATTATTATTATGGACGTTGAACATCTCAGTCCTGCCCGTGACCATGAGTGCTGTAAAGCGTTCGAAACGTCGGGTAATTAAAAAGTTAAATACACGCGATAAATTCCGTAAAAACTAGTATTATTTCAATATATCTTAAATTGTAAAGAGTCTTTGGGAGATTTAAGCTTTGTACTATTATTTAAAATTGGTAGAGCCACGCTGCGTCTGTACTTTGGTATCGACACAAATGGACTTGGAACTGAATAGAAATCTCGACCGGGGAATTATAATGGAATGGGATTCGACCGAAACTTTACCGTTACCGGATGAATACACAACACATATTTTTTGGTTGGTAATATTTTATCAGACCGAGATCGGACAAAGAACACACTGTGAACGGCATTATGATCGGCCCTAATATTGCCGTATTTTGTATGCTGAGGGTAGAGAACCGGAGAACCTTTTTACTGGCATTCTATCTTAGTCATCAGTGAGGACAACGCATCTACGTTTCGATTCTTAATCGTGGATAAACGTAGTCCTTACTATCAGGTGGACTGTGTGCACGTTTGTCACAATAATAAAGCTGCAACGTGGCTCTTCCATGTTATAATCTTCTTAATATCAATTATAATAAGTAACATTCATTGCTATTAATACGACAGCAACTGGTGATGCATTTTACAGAGGCTGTGCAAATATTACAGGAACATGTCGAATGCTGAGTTGAATCTCGACTAATTATTGTACAGTTTAGCACTTAAAACTCACACGTTTGCGCGCTTACTGCTAAAAAGACTCCTCTTTGTCGTATCTGTTCAATTATAGTGCAATCCCATCGCTACCACAGCTAACATCGGAATCCTCATTGTTGATCGTCGACGTTTAGTCGCCGTCACTTGACAAAATCGGCTACTAAAATACTTGGTTTAATTATTAGAGCGGGTGAATAGGAATATGATCTCCTTTTAATAATAAAATGCAGTAATTTGCTCAATCGACCTTTTTATTTCCTAATTTTTTACTCACGATGACAGGTACAACTGTATTTTGTTTTAAAAACATAACGGCTATATATAAATAAAACCTACACGGCTTACGAACTAATATGGGCATTAGAACTGCTAATATAATTTGACAGGCGCTTCAACAGAGGGATAACATTTCATTCCGACAAACGATTGTACCGTATAGTGCAGTGTAGTGTACATAGCACCGTGTGGTGACGGTGTAAGAATATCCACTACCCCATATCATCCCGTGGGTGTCGTAAGAGGCGACAGAGGGAAACAAATCAGGAGATGGGCAGCAGCGTCTTCCTAATAACGACTAAAAATAAAAAATGTGGTTGCCAACCAGCTTACCAAGCCTGGCAACTGTGGCAAATATCGCACCTATGAGGCAATCTATGGGGGAGGCCTATGTTCAGCAGTGGACTTTAATAGGCTGTAACGATAGCGTATTTAAAAAAATGGTGCCAATGCTATGTGATGTTGATAGCAATGTTTTCATGAGCGTGGTTAACTATTTACCATTAGCCTTATGATAGTTTGCCTACTCTACTTAAAAAAAAACATCCCGTTACATTTTTTGCTGTGTGATGTGCTGTCCTTAGCAAGAGGTATTTTATGAACTGGTGAAAAATTAAAAAAGGGCCTTTAATACATAAAGTATTATATAATAATATATTATCT